TATATATATATATATATATACATACATATATTACATATAAGGTTTGGGGTCAGTAAAGTAATTTTTATAAAGATGATTAATACTTTTATTTAGCAAGGAAGCATCAAATTGATCAAAAGTGACGGTAAAGGCATTTATGTTATAAAATATTTATTTTTAAATTTTCCAAAAAAAAAAAAAATTGAAATCTCTATTCATCAAAAAATCGTGGAAAAAAAAGTTTCACCTTATCCACAAAAATATTAGGTAGCACACCCGTTTTCAACATTGATAATAATAAGAAATTATATATTAGAATGCTTTCTGAAGGATCATGTGACACTAAAGTAGAGACCGGAGTAATTTGCTTTGCTATCATAGGAAGAAATTACCATTTTAAATATAATAAAATAGAAAACTCTTGTTTTAAATTGAAACAATGTTTCATAACATTACTGTTTGTACTATATTTTTGATAAAAAAATAAAAATAAAAAAAAAAACAGGCTTGGTGAGCATAAGAGGCTTTCCTTCAAAAACATCTTGCCGAGCCAAAAGTTTGAACGGTAGAGTACATAAATTAATTAGCTTCTTTGATTATTTTTAGTGAAAGTGAAAGTGATGTGACATGTGGCCAAGTATGGTTACCCATACTCGGAATTAGTGCTCTACATTTAACCCATCCAAAGTGCACACACACAGCAGTGAACACACACACACACCGTGAGCAGCTTGTCCTCATGTAATCTGTGAGGCTGTCTTGTAGCACATGCAGTTTTCCTGCCTGCTCATAACATTAAAAGGCTTTATTCCTTGAGGTGATTATGCTGTAAAGGATCTCTAGGAGGAAATGGAGATCACAAACTACCAGTCAGATATCAAAACCGATCCGCTCCTTCCAGCGCTGATTTAATTAAGCTAACTTAAGAAAGGAATGCTGCCTTTCAAACTGTTTCTTTGAGACGCCACGGCTGTTTTTCTTGCCGTTTAATCCCTGCCTCTCCTCTCTGCAAAGGATGTGATTGCCAGAGCGCTGAAGCATATTGGTGCCTACCAGGAGCTGGACAACATGGAACAAGTGCAGGCCCTCATCGATCCAGAGATGTGTGTCAACTGTGGCAAATGCTACATGACCTGCAACGACTCAGGCTACCAGGTACAGATGCACACATTAGATAATTACACGATAAGGATGTTATTTACAAGAAAACAGTTACTACTGGATTTCATTTGCTAAAATACGGGAAGCTAGCAAATGTTTTCAGGTTATATGTTGTCTTTAGAGGTCACTTGATTATAGAGTTCATTCACCGCCATTGGCCTTGCATTTTGAAAACATAAAGAGACAAGCGCAGAGTCTGAAATGAATAAGGCTGATGTGCGACGAAGCAGGCCAGCTATTTACCTTAAAGAACGATACTGTTGTGCTAGCTGCTGTCATTGTTGTTGCTTTTTTCCCTCCATGAAAAGCTCTCCCAGGAGTGGGGAAATCCTCCTATGGAGAGTCGATAATTGCTCTAACGTAATAGCTGTTTTTCCCTCCCCTTCGTCTTCTTTTGCAGGCTATTAGGTTTGATCCTGAGACCCATCTTCCTGTAATCATGGACAGCTGCACCGGCTGCACTCTCTGCCTGAGCGTGTGCCCCATCATCGACTGCATCAAAATGGTTACCAGGACAACGCCGTACGTGCCCAAGAGGGGCCTGCCTGTTTATCCCGCTTGCTAAAGCACGCTGTCGCACCACCTGACCAGAGAGAAAGAAAACCAAGGAGCAGCGTCTCATTCAAAGCATCAATTCCACTTATAATTGCTGTGTGAAAAATTACCTTTATTATGAAAACGAATAATTAGCCAGCAGAAATAATTGCCTGTATTCCCAAGCCAGGTATGCTAGAATAATTGTGCTGGCACAGAAGAGTTGCATTATTTCAAAACAACACAGTGCAATGTTATTTTTTGTCCCTTTCAAAAGTGAAAGGGATTATTGATTTAGAAAGATGGTGATGTGCTTTTATTTTCTCTGATAAATAATAATATATATAAATAATAAAGCGAGAATATTAATAATTGACAGTATTGAAGTCTCATTTTCACTATTATTTTGCAACTCAGGAAAATGAATTATGTGACTGGTAAGTGTGATTAATAATAATGTAGAACATAAGCATACTTATTTATAAAGCAGGTTTGCTTTGTTTAATGTTTGTTAGTAATTAAATCTCAAGACATATTTAGTAATAAATATCAAGTATGAGGTATAATAAAAAAAAAATCAAGTATGAGCCATAATTAATTTGAATAAAATATCACCAGACTAATTGTGAGTTTGAACCGTTTCACTCGCAGACTGTTTAGGCTTCTTGAAGAGCAGCTTTAGGTTTAGACACAGAACAAATCGTTCTAATGATGTTTAGAACGGTTCCTCTAATGTCCCGATTGATTTGTTTTGCTAAACAAAGCATTCACTGGGGCTGATACAAACACAAGTCTGAAAGGTTTATGCTGAGTCTCTGTTGTGCTAATATGATCTTCCGATAATTGTTACATCTGCGAACAAACATCCGATTGGGAGCAGTGGACAAGACAGTAGACGGAGTTAATTAAAATGCTATTGTTTTCATCTCCGAGATGCAGGCCGCTCATTCTCTGAGTGGTTTCGTGTTTGAAATACAGGGAAACGCTGCTTTTGAAAAACAGAAGCCTGACATGTCAGAGTTATTTCATCATTTATTATAACCGCACAATAACAAGGGATTAGAAACAAAACCGGGCCGCCATAAATCTAAAGTTTGCACTGGAGCTCCATTAATTTGGCTGCGACTTAACTTGCTTTGTAAAAATGTTTGCCTTTGAAAAATTAGCAACCATGCCAAGCACGATGAGAAGGTTCAGCAAATTTACTGAAGTCCCTTAAGCACGCTCATTATTAGCTGCCAGAACTGCACTTCAACAGCCTTACAGATACGTTTCGACGATTGTAATGCTTTACATTATTTGCACTTGTCTGGCTTTTCATTAAATTGTTCTTTTTTAATATTACTATTATTATTATTAATATATCAGGACCAAATCATATTTCCATATGCACAGCATCAGGTCAATAAGGAGTGTATAAATTGCGATAGTTATCACAGTAAGTCGTGTGCTGAAGCTGAATCCTCCCTTGCAGCATATCTCTTCCCCCAGCTGTCATTCATACATCACTGTGCATCAACCTACTTCCTCCGTCTGATTGCAATTAAGAAATGATGTGTCTGGACCCTGGCCAGGCATGCCAGGTTAAATTATTCATAAATGTTAATAGGACAAATGAGAGCACACCCTCTTTTCCTCCTCCTGCTCCCCTTCCTAAGTACCATATTAGAAAAATAATATTGACCTTTCCGTCGTAACGCCCACATGTGACATCGAGAAGCTGCCGCTCTATCATAATGTCCATGCCTTTTCGAAAAGCACACAGAGATGGGCTCTTCTTCTCTGACATACTGTACATAGAGAACCGCATGAGTGTGATGTACTCAAAGCTCATTTAAGTTGAGAACAAGCAAAAAAGAAAATCTGCAACCTTTACGGGTCTATTAAAAAGCAATAATGTGATTATAATGGCATGTCATAATTCTACAAATATTCACTGGGCTTTCTAATAGCACACAAGAGTATCAGGAATAACTCACCCAAAAATGTTGTCATCAATTCATTCCAAACCTGTATGATTTTCTTTCTTTTGTGGAACATATACACACACTCACACACACACATATAATTTTTTTTTGAAGAAGAAGAAGAATAATAATTTGGGGAACGTGACTTCTATTGTATGGAGGGGAGGAAAACATTTCCCAAAATATCTTCTTTTGTTCCACAGAAGGAAGACAATCATACAGGTTTAAAACAACAAGAGTGTGAGTAAATTACTTTATTTTAGTATATATATACTACTATAATATTTATTAATATTGAAATTATATTAGCTGTTTTCAGCTGTTTTTGTTAAAATTGTAGTTTCAGTTTTAGCAATTTTACGTGCTTTTGTTATTTATTATATTTTATTAGATTTAAATATGAATATATAGCTTTATTTTTTATTATTATTTAATTAAATTTTAGTACTTGAACTTTACTTCTCAAGTACAGTTAGTTGCCAAGGCAACATTTGTAATTTTCGTTTCAGGTTTTCATCTAATATTTATAGTTTATTTTATGTCAGGTTTATTTCAGTCACCAAAAACAAGCAGAAAATCTACTTTTTTTTCTGCTCAAATACTCCTTTGTTCTTTATGGTATCAGCAATGAATGTCCTTTAAGATTTCTTTTTCAACATATTTTACATTAAACATTGTAACATTCCCCACAGTCTGATTTCTCCATATAAACACATTCATATTCTTGTAAAAACCCTCGCTACCCTACACCACTTGGCCTAGCAATTCAAGTAGAAATTTCATGAGCTAACCAGTAGAGGGTACCATGCTATGAACATGATGTTGGATAGCTAATACTGCTCTAAAAAGACTGAACTAGGATTCAACTCATCAAGCCCACACCATCTTACCATTAAACCCAGTGGCCCAAGTTCACCAGAACATCTACCTAAAGTGTATTTATGTTCACTGTGTTGTGCTGCTAACTTTTCACTAGCTTTGATTGCAGTGGAATGAACCTGTTTTCCTCCCATTCCCATGATGGCCCTATTGTCTACGGGTCTGACCTGGCCCTTGACAAATCTAATTTCACCATCCTCAACTGCTGTTACCTGCAAAGTTGTAGATGTGAATGTGACAATAATCATTAAAGCTATTAGCATGGAGCGAATGGCAGCTACTGGTGAGTGCTGTATAGACTCATGACCTCTGACCTGGGCTAATTGGCATTGACAGGAGGCTGGCAGAAAGCCTTTCATTTCTCTCCACTATGAAAGACTGAAGAGGTGAGAGAGACAACATCACCGAGCCACGACCACCAATGATTAGGTGCTTCACTGCCAGGCCAGGATGTGTATAGTAGAAAAAAATGAAACAAAAGCCATCACCGGGTATTTACTTTGCTTTTTCTATTTAATTATTGTCTGTATTGTCTTGTTTTTCATTAGCAGCTGTTTATTCATACAACTGCAATATGCAACTTAGTAAAACATTCATTTTAAATTAGTTTATCACATGTAAAATTTGTTTTTGAGGGGGCACGAATGGGGGGGGGGGGGGGGGGTTAAAACGTCACTGTTATTTTAGTATTATTAATATAATGAATATAATATTATACCTTTATTTATTATTAAATATTATTGTTAAATAAAATATGTATTAATATTTTAAATTAGCTTTTTTTTTTAATGTTTAAAATATAAATTACCTTTAGATTTTTATATAGGTTTTGGTTTTAGTAATTTTTGTACTTCAACTGCTAAGGCAACATCACTCATTTTTAGGGGTGTAATGATTCACTCAACTCACGATTCGATTGGATTCACGATTCGATTTTCTCATGATGTTTTTTAACAAAATGAGATTGGAGACATTATACAGTAAATGAAAAGGTGTCGTTTTAGGCTATTGCTGCACGTTTCTTTGTGAAATTGAAATATAACAAAACTAAATTTCCATTTTAAAACAAACGAAATCAAACAAGTTACACAAATAAAATAAATATCTTAATATGAACAAACTAAGGCTTTGTCTGTGTTCTTTCCATTTAAAATTAGAGGCAACCACTGGATTTTAATCATGATCCAAACAAAGATGCTGCATACATACATCATTTTTAATCTAAATTAAAGTGTATCATTTCGAAATTTGAAGCAAAATCAGAATGGTCTGACTTTAGTTTTGTGAAATTATACTACATAAAACATCTGAACAAAACAGCAGACAAGCTGAATGAGACACAGATTCACTCTCTGACAGCAGGTGGCGCTTATGAACAGCAGTGATACAGTGCTTCCTGGGTTACCGCTGTAAACAAAGCAGAACTGCGCTTATGAACACTACTTTAATATGCATTGTTCAGAGGCAAGATGAAAAAATACCACGTAAACTTTTCTAAAGATAGTCAGTTCCCCTCAGAGATACATTCATATAAACTCCTACTCAAATTGTATCGCGATTTGTTTGGCATCTCAACTGATTTGAATCGTCGCATATTTTAATCGATTTTCCACCGGCTCGCGGTTAATCGTTACATCCCTACAAATGCTTGTTTAAGTTTTTCGTCTAATATTTTTATTTATTTATTTCAGCTTTATTTAAATTACCAAAACCTATTTTTAGTTTTAATTAACAAAAACAACACTTGGTAAATTATGACAGAATTTTCATTTTTGGGTGAACTATCCCTTTAAGTCAGAAAGGAATCTTTTTTTTCCCCTTTAGTCTTTATGACTCTTTACATTTTCATTTTTAAATAAAGTTTTATTTTTTTTAAACAACAGCACCAATGATTAGGTGCTTCTCTGCAAGCCCAGCTAACAAAAAAAATGAAATAAAAGCCATCCTTGGGTATTTACATTGCTTTTTCACTTAATTATTGTCTGAATTGTCTTGTTTTTAATAAGCTGTTGTTTACTCATACAACTGCAATAGGTAACTTAATAAAAACATTTTTTTTTTTTTTTTCAAATGAGTTTGATAATGCAAATTTTTTATTGTTTGTGTAGATTTGAATACCTATCAATTCTCGCAGTGGGGAAGTTGTTTTTTTTTTTTAAATGAGAAAACAGCAGAGATGGTACACGACACGCACACAGCTGCACGAACACAAACAATCCTATTCAGGACGCAAAAATGGCCCTTGTCAATGTTTTCAATACTGTGGCTCCCTCCCAGTCATAAAGATATAAACTCTTGTTTGCTGCTTTAATTCAATTAAACTGGTGGAGGTAGGATGTCTCTGGAACACTGGCCAATGCTAATCTCATTTCGTCAGCCATTACGCCAGAGCTCAGTCCTGGCCTGCTCTTCCCACAAATGCACCTTCCTGCCAAGCCTTGGCACATCCTTACAGCTTCACAGTCTCCGTAAAAGCCAATGTGAGCCTGGCTCCATACCTTCAGACCTCTTGTTTCCTTCCATGG